GATTGACAGGACACCAGAAATTGAACTGGGTTTGTGTGTTGTGCGCTCTCAAATGAAGCCCCTCCCATTATGAGACAAAAGGCCCTAGGTTCAGCGGGCTGTAAGTTCATTAAAGAAATTGAATTATACAACAAAGCTGGCTGGGTAAAATGTATTATTTCCTGTTTCTGGTTTCTCCCCCACTTTGCCTTATTTTGTTAGGTTTTTTTCCCCTTTGTTTGCAAGAGGTATTTTGAATGAAAACACATGCTTTATTTTACAGAAATACAGCGGACGGCCATTTTCTTTCTTTCTTTTAAAAAATATTTTATTAGTTGTATATAAGAACAACATATAATCAAATAAACAAGGTACTGAACTGAGACCCTCACAGGCCAGGAAAAGAAGGTGGAGGTGTCACAGATGCCACACTTAGGCCCAGCCTGAAAAACCCGCTAGTGTTTCCCACAAGATTGGCTCATTCCTCTGTAGCAAGGAGAGCTCACATGCCATTAAGAAGGTCTGTTTGCTGCCTTAAAAGCTTTGTGTTCTGGTCTCTTAAGTGTCAGCTGTGAATCTTCTGCTATGCATCCTAGGGTGGAGACAAACACCTCAGAAGAGCCAAAGGCACATCTAGCCAAACACTCAGTTTTCAGTGGCCGACCATTTGCTGCAATAGGAAGCCCCCAAGCAGATCAGCAAATGGCAGTCCATGGGCCAAATCCGGCCCACCAGGAGCATTGTCTAGTCGCCAGCTGGGAGGCAAGAGGTACATCCTGAGAGAGCAATAGATCATATTTGTTGCACTGACATTTAGGTGTGCAACCTGCCGACTGTTACGTGGAGGTTAGCAAGTTCTGGTTTTCATGCCTCACCTGCCAAGGAACTCTGGGCCCAGACCCTTCAATGAGATGGATGGGTGAGCCACTGGAGGCAGGATTGTAGTACCCTTGAAGGAGCAGCATTATTTTCATGTCTAAGTTATGACGCCTTATTAGAGCAAGGAGATTTCATTAGCGTGACCATAATTGTGTCTCCAGAGGGCCTCTTTAAACCTTGCTTTCCATGGCTTGTAAATGGACATTAAACATTCACTTTAGCATGCCCAGGTTGCAGCGAGAAGGCAGGAGGGGGCAGTGTGCTTTCCTTTGGGATATGCAGGCCCTCTTCCCTGCCTCGAGAGGTGCCTCCTGCTGCCACAATCCCTTGCAAGGTGATGCTGGGCATGAAGCTGCAGGGTACCAAAGAGCCCTGCACTCCCAAGTGACCGCTCAGGTGTCTGGAAGATGCCAGCATTTGGTCCAGGAGACTTTAGACCAGCCTCCCCTAACGAGGTGCCCTCCAGATCTTTTGGACTACAACTAACATCAGCCCCAGCCAGCAGGGTCATATGGTGCTCCAACCTGATGGGAGTTGCAGTCCAACACAGCTGGAGGGCACCAGGATGGGGAAGGCTGCCTTAGTGCAAGAACACCCAATGGAACAGGACCATCACACCCCAGATTCCCTGGGATCTTTCTGATGTGGAAGCGAGAGACCTTTGATTTATTTTTTATGCTGTTCGGGCTCTAGGGGCATTCTGGGTTTCCCTGATATGTTGTGCTCACAGAGGTGCTGGCTCTTTGCAAGAGGTTTCCCAGTGGTGGTGCAACCACCAGCCTTGCTGTCCCAGAAACTGTCGAATGAAATTTTTATTACAACATTATGAGGCGTTTTCTCTTTGCATCTTTAAGCTGCTATATCGTTCTCACTTTTCCATGCACTGGGTCCAAAGAGCTGTGGGTTGTGTGAGGACATTTTGGCTCCCCCTTCCCACCCGCTGTGGCCACTTGAAATGCGTTCTGAGGCTCAAGGGGCCTTCTGGAATGATGTGAGGGTGGGGGACCGGGGTGAAAGTAAACAAACAAACAAACAAACAAACAACCCATCATGCACTCAGCCCAGCATGGCCCCGCATATGCCAGCCACTATTTTAAAACCATTATTGCTATTATGACTTTTCTTGCCCCAGTCGAAGCGCACAGGAGCCCTTTCCTAACTAAGGTGTGCCAGCAGCATCTGGAGCAGAGGAAGGGGGGGTGAAAAGAGGGAGGCACATCTGGGTGGGCATCATGGACCCAAGATGTCCCCTGTGGGGGCAGGGAAGGTGACAACATGCCCTCCCTGTGAAATCATGAATATGAGTCTCACCTTCTACCTGCCCACCTATTATTATTATTATTATTATTATTCCCCGCCCATCCAGCTGGGTTTCCCCAGCTACTCTGGGCAGCTTACAGCACATTAAAAATTGTAAAACATCAGACATAAACAAATTTCCTGATACAGGGATGCCTTCAGATGTCTTCTAAAAGTCAGGTTTATTTCCTTGACATCTGGTAGGTGGGCGTTCCACAAGGCAGGTGCCACTACTGAGAAGACCCTCTGCCTGGTTCCCTGTAACCTCACTTCTCACAGTGAGGGAACCGCCAGAAGGCCCTCGGCGCTGGACCACAGTGTCCAGGCTGAACGGTGGGGGTGGAGACGCTCCTTCAGGTATATTGGACCGAGGCCGTTTAGGGCTTTAAAGGTCAACACCAACACTTTGAATTGTGCTCGGAAACGTACTGGGAGCCTCTTAAGCCAGGCAGGCAAGGCCTCTGCCTCCTGAAAGCCGCTTTATTAGAGGGGGGAACAAAACCTCAGAATCGTTCTGTGAGATTTCACTCTGAGCAGTGGTTTAATCAGGTGTACACCACCAAGGACTATTTTATACTCATCTTGTTTTTGCTTTGGAGAGACCAAATATCTTCCCTGCCTTCGTGGTTGGGTGTTTTTTTTTATGTTTTCCCCTCATTTTTGTTTGTAATGGGAGAGTGTTATTTTTCTAAACTAGATTTTTATTTCTGAAAACAGCTCCAATGGTAAACATCCTATTAACCCAGCATGTTTTAATGTGTGGCATCTTAATAGAAGGACAGCAGAGAGAGAACAAATCTAACATTATATTTTTTTAAGCAAGCAAGCAAACAAACACACCCTGCCCAGTTATTTATCATCACCAAATCTTTCCCCATGTCGGGAAGGCAAAGCTGTCTCTTTAATAATGCAAAGGGATAGTAAATTTCAAGCTGAGGATGGGCTGTAGGAAGGAGCCCCTTTTCCGCCCTGCCCCTAATGTCAGTGGAGTGGCTGAGGAACACACCTGATTAGTTCTAACAGGCTGCTTAGCATTGGGTCACCTCTGTGGCTCCATCTCTCCCCAGCAGGGTCACTCGTCTCCAGGCTATATTTGGGGAGGGGGAGGCAGGGGGCGGGCAGCGTGTTCCGAGCGCCTCTCGTCTCTCTGCTTTCTCTGCTGCTTCCATAGCAGTTTATTTTTATTTGCGATGCGCTCCCTCCCTCCCTCCGGATCCTGCTCTCCACTCTGCATAAATCGCTGGGAAGGGAGCACCCCCTCCGCCCAGGCAAGAGTGAATTAAAGCAGGAACTGTGTGTTGTGTCACCAGGGCCTTTTGATCCGGATTTCTTTTTGGCACAGAAAGCGTTTAAATTAATTTCCTGCCCGTGTGTGTGTGTGTTTTGCACCATTCTGCTGAATTGCCAAGGCCAGTTTGTGCTACCAGGATGCCCGGGCTGGGTTGCAGGCAGGGTGGTGGCGGGCTGTGTTTACGCACACAACGCCCAAACCACGAGCCCAGCCAGCTTCGTGCGGCCGCCCCACACAAGTGGATCAAATCCGGTAGCTCCCACCTGCCTGTTCCTCCAAACGGGAAGCCTCTGGTGGCAAGGCTGCTGCGCCCAGCCTCGCCTTTACGGTGTTTTGCCTGACTCGCAGCCTGGATGCTGTCTGTTACAGGGGGACCCTTCCCAGTGGGAAGGGTCGCGTCAGCCAAAGCAAAAAGTCAAGGCCCGGCTGCTCTTGGGCTCTTCTTGCCCTCCAGGGCTCCGGGTCTGGTCCCTCCCTGATGTGGGAACCCCAGTAGCTGGTGGGGCGCTTTCCCCCTCTGGGCTTGGAGAGCCGTAACTGCTGCTGTGGGCCTGGGCAGGAGAGCCCTTTGTTTCCCCTAGCTTAACCCTTTGCAAGCCACCCACATTGCCGCCGCCTCCTCGCATTTAACTCTATCTCTGCCAGCCCATCGCGGGCGGAAAAGCTTCCCGGTAGAGCTCCGGGTGCACTTGCATGTCCCACAAGGTGTGGTGGGGGGAGATTCGCCATTTGGGCTGCCCCAGAAAACAAAGGGGGGCCTGACCCTCTGCCCACTCCCATTGGTGTTGGGGGAGAGTCCTGCTTTGAACTCCCCCCCCCCCGCCACAGGACTCTCCAAGCAAACCTCGAGGCCGCTTGCTTGGGTTGCTGCGCGCAGCAGCTCTACAAACGCCTGCCAGGCCGAGAGCGGCTGCTACGGATGCCAGGGCAGGGAGCTCTGCTGCCAGCCAGCCAATGCCTGTCCCTCCCAAGCCGGCAGCAGCAATCAATGGCCTGCCTTTTTCCCTGCCATAAGCCAGGCAGCCCAGCGCTCTTCCTTCCCACTTCCGAGGATGTGTTTTGTGACTGCGGAAGCTAACATATGACCGGGACATTTGCCCTTCGTCAAACACCCTTCGCTGGCAGAGAAACTGGCCAGACGGCAGCCAGGAGTGTCTCAAGCACCAGCCCCAGCCCCGGGAAGCCTGGAGCGCACGCACACTGGTGTGTGGTGTGTGTGTTGCATGATGCACAATGAGCATCTTCCCACTGTGGGGCCGACACTTGGGGGGGGGGGAGGCGGAATCGAGGCTTTGGGTTCTTTTCTTCTTGCCAAGCCTGAAGCTGCGTGACCCTCCCCGCCTTCTCTCACCCCCCTCACCCTCCCGCCGTAGACTTGGTGGCGATGAAGCAGCCGAGGCTGCTGCTGCGGCTGTTGCCTGGCCATGGAGAGGGGTCCCTTGCGCGTGGGTCTGTTTATTTGTTTGTCCTCCTCCCCATGCCCCCCAGCCCCGCTTCCCCCTCCCCGCCGCCACCGAGCTGGAGGGGGAGGAGGAGGAGGAGGAGGAGGGGAGCCCACGCCAGCCCCGCAGGACGACAGCTCTCCCACTTGCTCCACGATCGACCACCGACCTCTCTTAAGAGGAGCAGCAGCCGCAGCAGCAGCAGCAGCGTGACCGGCCGGCCGAGGTAAGGCAGCGGCGGCGGCAGCAGCCGCGAGAGGGGGCGCCTCCGCCTCCTCCGCTCATCGGCTGGGCCTGATGTGAATATGCAAATAGGCGGCCTGCCCGACACGTGTCTGCCCGCCCCTCCCTCTCCCCCCCCCCCGCAGGGTCCTCGGCTCAGCCATGCTCGGCTCAGGGCGCTACTGCCTTGCAAAGCCGGAGCGGCAAGCGGGTGTTTGTTTGTTTATTCGCTCATTTGCATGTTGGAGTGCAGGGAGGCGGAGGTGTGAGGGCCCGTGAGATGACAGGAGAATCATGCGACAAATTAAATGTGATGGTGGTGGTGATCCCTCCTGGGTGAGGATCTGATGCAGAGGAGGCGGCTCCCCCCTCTTTTTAATACCCCCTTTGCTGTTGATTGAGGTGGGGGTGGTTTGGCATCTTTTTTTATGGTGACGATGACGATGATTTCAGCCCTTCTCTGGAGGGAAAGGTGGTCACTTTGAAAATGCCAGGTGGGGAGAAAGTTGAGGCACTTGGCACCCCGAGAATTACATTGCCACCTCCCCCACCCTCTTGATTGCCCTGCATTGCTTGCTCATGAATTAGGGCTGCTTGGATTCTCCAAGAAATAAAACTAAGCCTGTTCCATTTTTTAGAGGAGGCAGCTTTTATTTCACAGGATGCCTGTTTTTTGCTCATTGACATCCCCTGAAATTCTGTTTTGTTCCTTTTGCTACTTTCTTCAGCTACGTTTTAAGAAAAGGCCGTTCGCAAAGCAGATCCTGGAGCAGCCGTGGGGATCGGGCGCTTCTCAGTGGCTGGGTCTGAATTCTGGTTTGAGCGAGCGCACGCTCTGAGCCTCTTCTTCTGAGCCTCCAGGCTGTTTTACTTGCAAAAGGGGGAACAAGCAAGGAAGCAGCGATTATGAGCAGAATTAAATAGGAGGAAATGGGAGGAATGCAGCTGGAAGAGTAAATATTTTTTTCTCTGTAGCAGATTTCGGAGCTTCTAAAAGAATCCCGATTCTTCCTCCCTTTTCCTGCCTGTCTTCCTGATGAAACTTCCTTGCCTGGTGTGCCCCCTCCCTAATCTATTTTAAAGCCACGCAAGAGACCCGGAGAACCCTTCTCACTGCTGTCTCCTTTGGAGGATTCAAACCCCCCCCCCCACACTTTAAAAAAGGAAAATACCAGTCCCAACTGAACTCCTGGTTCTTGGATAAATTAAAAGCAAGAATGGCTGACTAACCATCAGTGAAGGGAACAGAAATGGAAAGAAAATACCACCTTTTGTGGAAGTAAAAGAGGGACCAGTGCACATGCCGAAATCCCCTCACCAGCCTAATTTTTCTGACCCTAAAACTAATAATTGCTACTTCTCTGCCTGCACGACCACTCCATGTTCTCCCCTGTGCCTTCTTGACACAACCACCTATTTCTTGTGTTCCTGATCAGCCTTGCCTTGCCTCCCATGCTCAAGGTCTGGGTGGCGGGGGATGCATTCTCAGGTGGCTTCTATCTCATGTGCCACCATGTTGATTTCTGGGTTCCACCATGGCTTAAGCGTGGTACTTGAAGGGCCTGTCAGGGCAGGCCAAAGAGCAGGTCGGCAGAGCATTGAGCCAGCTTAGCTGTTGCAGCAGTTGCCTCTGGTGCTAAGGGCTCTCCCTTCGGTGCACCTGGGGGGTGCTGTGCACGGACCGCATCCTGCTTTCCCCAGGCCTGGCTCTTGTGTGCCAAAAAAGAAGAAAGGCAGGGATAAGGTCTGTTGTTATTTATCAGCCCAAGGGGATGATTAGGCCTCGGTTACCATCTACAAATCAGGAGCCTGGTGTCTCCTGCCTGGGCACTCATTGCCAATTTGTTCCTATTAGATGGCCGAGCCCGGAGGTGTCTGATGATGAGCAGATTGGGTCTTTATCTCGGCAGCGGCAAGGCTGGAGAGGAGGCCAGCAAACATCGAGGCAGCGCAGCCCTTGCAGATTTGGGGTCTGTGATTTGTTGGACTTGCTGAGGATGGCAGCTTCTTTGCCTACATTGGGAAGGGAATTTCTGGGCCAAATCTAGTTCCATCCATGTCTCCCCAATAAATATGATGGGAATTAAAGAGAAATCATTAACGAAGCCACTGTGTGTTAATAATATGTGGTTTATTTCCCAGTGAAATAAAATATATTTTATGATACAAAGATATTCCTGTTAGGGCCCTTTGTCAGCATTTTCAGACGCCTTGACTTGGAAACCATTTGGCCCCCAGACTGTGCAGGCTGTTTAAATCCACTGGAGGACAGTCCCAACTGCTCCTAGACATGAATGATGCAAAGGAAATTATTTCAAATAATCTATTTTTTAAAAAACAGTAACACGGATTTTTATATATAAACATATATAGTCCTAGAATTCTCACTTTGTTTTGTCCAGTATTAATGAGTCCAGGCTCAATTTGCATTTCACCCTCAGTCTGTGATTTTTTTCTGTATTGTGCAAAGATGCAAATGGGAAAGCGAAGTTCTCTAGGATGTCATTTTTGGGGACTTTGAACAGGGAGGAAAGGAACGGCAGCCCCTTGTAGCAGTATTTTTTGGTGGTGGGTGATTTCTGTGATCAGCCATGTCTCCCTTGCAAGGTGGTTCTTCAGCGCAGTTCCAGTGCATGTTCCACACTTTTGTCTGTCGCAGCTGCCTTTTTGGGTTTTACTGAGCTTTTTATTCAGAAGAGTTTGTTGAGGGCTTTAACCGACTCGGCCAGGATTTGAGTCTCAGAAGAATTTGCATGCCTACACCTTGAATCTCTTACCTGAGCTCCCCAAAGAGACATTTCTACCTTTGATTGGCACATTACCTCATCTGCCCCAAAGCAGATGGGATTTTCAAGCTTGTGAAAAGTGTATTCACCCAAAGACTTGAATTGTAGAGAAAATTATAATTTTATCCGTTGGTTAGAAAGCACGCTAATATAATCTCTGACTCCATTTTGGTTGTAAGCCAAATTTGGAGGATGAAGAAGAACATTCTAAGTGCTTATGTGTTTTTGCCTTGTCTTTTAGGAGCGCACATTCTCCCCCATTTAATTTCTAGAGAGAAATTATCCTCCTCATTTAATAACCTCATAATTGTATCTTTTGCTCAGTGATCAAGTACATCTCTTTGGTGCCTGTGACTTATAGTAGAAAAATAGGTTTGATTTATCATAGGCTAACATAACATCCAGCTTGCTTTGATCTGTATGTTGCATGGATCAAAATCAATTGGCATGTACTCGGAGGGTTTTTCTCTCTCTTAAGATTGCATTAATTTATATGTACATATTTATATACTCTTCTAATGCTAGAGTGTATATTTCAGTTATCATTTTTTATTAGCAGAATATTTCATTTAAAGAAAACATTGTTAAAAACTACAGTTCAGTTAACTGTGACTAAAGTTCCTTAAATGCAATTCATAAAGATCCATCGCTGTCTGATGCGTAATCTAGGATTTGTCTGAGAGTTCCTATGAAAACCTTTGCAGATTAAATATAAACAACCAAACAAACAAACAAACAAACAAACGCATAAAGTATGAAGACGAGGCTTAGCCAGGGCATTTACATGCCACAGATTTAGTATTTCAGGTTCATGTCAGCTTTCTGTTTTAACAGAGAGACTGTTGCATTGTTTTTTCTGCTGCTGTTTTAAATATGACAAATCATCCTCCCTGTTTATATATCTCTCTGTCTATCGTTTGGGTTTAGGGTGAATTTCACATGTGAAATTTCTCCATGTAACATCTGATATGTTCTCAGCATGCTGGGGAAGGGTGGGGGGGGATCCTTTTTAGATTAATGGTCAGTGTCTCATACACACAAATTTGTGTTAGGATGCTACAGAGAAGGTGCGAATTACTGACAAGATCTGGAATAATTCCTAATGCTGTAGAAGGGTTCATTTTCTCCTCCACATGATGGATGAGGCATAAGAAGTGCTTTTCTGAGATCATTAATGCGCATCATTCTCTTAAGTGTTATTAAAGTCCGTCTGTCTGAAGCTGCAGGAACAATATCTTTCCCCTCATTTCGCCTGCTGTTTTTTTTTTTAAAAAAAGAATAAATCACCCTCTACCTATAGATGCTGCCTTTTTGTAAATTCATTGTCAAAGGGTTATTTATTTCATAACGGTGCACACTTTCCAGAGCTACATTTCCCCTACCTTCTTTTTAAAATATTTGATTGCTGCTTGTGAGTCCACATGTAATTTCAAGAGTACATGATTCCTAACCTTTACAATTGCAACACCAGCCCCTGAAAAGCAAGCTTGTTAGGCTCTTTCCTTGAAGGTATTGTTCTAAGAGAGCACTCGCATTCTGCACTATATCTGGGCAAAGCAGCCCTCCTCTTAATTTTGGTTTGAATGTGGCAGGCTGTGGTGTGCGAGGCAAAGAAGAAGGAAACGGCAACTCGCTGGCAGGGACAGTTGTGCTGATAGTAACCCCACCGCACTTTAAACGTGTTTGCTGCCCCTCCAGAGAAAGTATTGGCATGTTTCTGAGCTGTGGTCCAGCTGGGGGCAAGGCAAGGAGGTCACAGACAGGTAGAGGCCAGGTGCCACCATCCAGTCTCGTATTTGGAAACAGAAATCATTCTTCTTTTTGAAATATCTTCTTTCAGCCATTTTATTTCCACATATTTAAAAAACTTTGGCCTTTTACTTGGGGGGGGGGGGGGCTGGAAATGCAAACTGAGCCATGGTGTAGGTGGGGGCAGGGTGGTGGTGGTGGTATCAGTAAGGCCAGCAGGGAAGAGGAGGGGTGTATGCCAGGTACTGATTGCAGATGGATCATATTAAATCAAAAGCAATTTTAGCCAAACAGGAGAATTCACTTTAAAGCTTTTTTAACCTTCCTTAAGAGCCAATTTTCCCCCCTCAAAGCCCTGAGATAATAAAATACAATATAATTTATGGAGCGCTTTCCGTGGGTCTACATTCCTAACTCTCTCCCTCTTTTTCTTTTACTGTAAGATAAAACATACCCAACCACTGGGATGGCAATCAAGACAAAACAAAATGCAGCTGATCATAAAGTCGTTTCAAAATGCCACACTCCTTTTGAAAGAGGCTTACCTGAAAAGGGTCCCCGATACATTTTTAATAGAATTTTTAAAAGTTCGAAACACAGCTGGGCAAAAGCCACAGCTGGGCTCTTGAACATTTAATTTGAGATTTGAATAATTCTCCAGATTGAGCTAGAATCATGAACGCCATATAAAAAGACCACTCCCCACCCCCATTCCTAAATTACATTATTCCACAGATGTGCAAATACTTCAGAGGGAAAAATTACATTGATCAGATTTTAATACCCCCCATGTCACCCTTCAGTCAAAGGAGGGAAAAGCTTTCCCCAGCCCTTTTCGTCTTCAGAAAGGTGCTAGATTATAAACATCTGAAGGAAATGAAAGGGAGGGGTAGCCAGTCCGCCCCCAAATTCTTTCCAGATTTTCATTCCTTTCGCCAGAAGCCTTCTGTTCTCAGAGATGAGGGAGGGTTGGGGGGGGGATGAGACTGTTTCCTATTTAAGACTGAAAATCAAATACATTGATTATAGAGGTTACTAATTTTGATTTGGCTAATTTTGAGGGCCTTGGACCTGCACCCACAAGGGCCAGGGGGGCTTTCTGGGAATAGGAGCGACCCCCTTTCTTTGGGTCTGTATTTTCCTGAGAGTTTGGGAGCTCTGGCAGGCACAACCAGAGCCATGAGTTCAGAGCAAACACGTGTCTTCAAACTGCTTGGCAAAAAAGAAGGTTTGGCGGCCAATTTTTAATTCTTTACAGGAGACAATGAGGAGCAGATAAGCCATGTGTATCAAAGCAGAAGCTTTGCCTCAGTTTTCATTTGTGAACGTGCAGCCACAAGCTGCAGCCTGCATGTGGATGTGAGAGGAGAAGTGGCGTTAAAGCGCCTTATCTTGGCTTGAGTGAAAGCGCCTTGTAGGCCCAGGCTGCTCACAAAGCCTCCATAAGTCCAGGAGGGAATGGCCAGTCCAGGTTATGGCAAGAAGTTGTTCTAATTGATTGATTGATTGATTGATTGATTAATATACCTCCCTATACCCGGAGGTATCATGGCGGTTCACAGAACGAAATCAAAATATAAAACCACAATAGATATAATCAAAATAAAAACAAACAACAACCCCCCCCCCCCCAAGTGTTCTGCTGTGATCATGGAATGATGTTTGCTTTGAGCTAAACAACAGGTGCTTTTGTATAATAACAGAATAGTTTTGAATGAGATTTTTGCAGTGGCGTTGCTTGGTCCATATAGCTGGTGGGGTAACCTTGAACTGAGGAATTAGCCCATGCATTTTAACACTGTTGTACATTGCCTCAAGACTTGATGTAGGAAGATAAACAATCAGTAAGATTGGTCACCCACTTGAGTTGCATCAGTTTTGCAAAGATGGTCTCTCCTGTTGAACTGAAGTGTGGCCCCAAGGCCTCTCCCGCCCAGCCTCCATTCGCTGCTTGCCCAAGTTGTTGTTGTTGTTGTTTAAAAAAGAAGGCAAAATCAAGCCTGGCACCGTGGTTCCTTGCCTTTTGCTGTTCTGAAAAACTGAAAAGCCCCAGTAAAGAGGCGAAAGCAAAAGAATGCAGAGCCGATCACAGCACTATGGAAACTGCTCCACAAAAATGTGGAACGAAAGCTTCGCTGGAGTGTGGTTCATGTATTGTAACAGCTGTGACAGCCTGGTACCGTTTAACACTTGTTCAATTATAAGAAGGAGGGGGAAATTCAAAAGGAAGCTTGATTTATAGAAGGCACATAATAATCTTTCAAATGTATAATGTAACTGTCCCTCCTGCAAAAAAAAAAAAAAAAGGAAAAGGAAAAAAGAGAACCCACCCCCTCTCTTCCACAGTCTTGCCCCCCAACAGTGCATGGTCTGTTTGACAGTCTGGGGAAATTCCTCTCCCATCCAGCTCCCCCGCCTTCTGGCTTGAAATAATGTTTCCTACGGCTTGTGCTAATAGTTATTTGCAAAAGTATTTTGGGCCTAGCAAGGATTCTTGCAGAAACACATTGCTGTTTATGTTTTTGAGCACACTTATTATTATTATTA